GGCCCTGCTCCTGGAAATCTGCCTCCAACTGAGGGTGCTCAACACTTAAAAATTTGGCCCTCATAGGACATAGTAAGGGCTATATCCTGCCCTCCGCAGTACACAGTGCTTCCACTGATCTGAAATCAGCAGGTGAGCTCCTGCTGAATGTTCGAGTGAGCCGGAAGGATAACATGTGACCATCATGCCCACTGGTCTGTCAAGCAGGGCTTTGCACCCCAGCTTGGGAGCAGGCACCCACCTTTACACTCTGAACGAGGCTGCTGTAAAAAGCTCAGGGGGGTTTCATAAAGCAGCCTGGGAAGTTTGCAGAGTTAATAGCTGCTGCTCATCTGAGGATGATGCAGGCTCAGGCGTAGCTGTTGAATTTGAATTTTCAAACTGTATTGGCCATCTGGAAAAAAGATCGTAACTGCTTCACAGGGCACTCAGTGGGAGGGATTCGTCACCAGTGTGCAGAGTTTTCCCAGGAACACGCTTTCTCCCAGCCCCGAAAACAGGAAATGAAATGCGTTCAATGAGATTTACAACCAACGGACCCTTTGCATGAGGTCATATTCATGGAGCAAAAAATCCCTAACGCACTTGGGGAGTCCAGGAAAGAAATCTCCAAATTCCTAACGGCTTGGCCTTTGAAAGACGGATGATAACGAACAGCAGAGCTGAGATTTTCCCCTTGACTGTCCCTCTGGACGTGGAACAGGTCCAGCTTTCCCTTTATTCCACATGCAATGGCTTCATCCCATCTTTCTGGCTTAGTATTTTCTGCTGGGTTTTGAGATGGAAGTCGCAGAGTGGAAGTGCTCTCTAGCCCCTCAGGCATCTGACCTCCCCTCCCCACAAGACATGTGCTTGGCGTTTCACAGGGAGCACCCTGCTCTCCTTTGTGTGTCTCCGTCTCTTGGCGTGAGCAGGGGAGGGTGCTCCCCCAAGCCACTTTGGAAGGCTGACTTGACAGACACCAGGGATCTGTGTCGGATCAGCGCTGGCCCTCTACGCCATTGTCAGCAGTGGGGCAACTCTCGGAGCAGTGGAGTGAATTCCCGCAAAGGGAACTACAGGAAACCTTCCTGAGGGTGGGTGATAGTCTCCCCAGGGAACTGGGGGCCTCCCCGCTGCCCCATGGACAAAGCACTAGAGAGTGGTGCTGAGAGGAGGCCCTTGGGGGAAGGGGGCAGATGGGACCTAGTAGGGTTTCCCCATCTATGCACATTCGAAGAAGTTGTGGCATACAGGGACAGATACTTCAGCCGTTGTGTCAGGATGTGGGTGGGACCGTTCCAGGGGCTGTTGGGAGCTGTACAGCGAAAGGCTCAGCTTATTTTGAAAATGAACCTTTGACGTTTCCAGCCCTTAGACAAATGAGATCTGTGTTTGCTGCTGCTAACGTCTGCGGGGATGTATGCAGCACTGTCCGAGAGCACACAGAGCGTCTCTGTGCCCCGCCGCGCTCAGTCCAAGCACAACGAGCACACAGCAGGCTGGATGGAGTGACGAGCCCAGGGGAGGGAGCGAATGGGAGGCTGTGCTGCTCTGTTTTGAAACAATTGACTCCTGTTGGCTGGGCCGCAGAAGGGAGCCCAGAGGAGGGATTTGTAGCAATCTGAACTAATGCAAAACACTGCCGCACTTGCACAGCAGTGCCAGGCTTTCAGGAGAAAACCTGCTTGTGGTTTTTATTCTTCCACGTGGAATCCGACAACTTTTTCCCCACGCTGCTGAAACAACATTTAGCTCTATTTTATTGGCCTGGTTAGAGTGCAGTGTGAACATCATTTCAGTGCCCTGGGGCTTCAGGGGTGTGATTTCCTCCTTGTCAGTTCAGACCAGTTGGGGCCCATCTCCTGTATGATTAGCTGCTTTCCAGCTCCCTGGGTACCCTTTTCCTGTGTTTGCCACAATTCCACTGAGCTGTATTTCCAGGTATCTGAGGTTTGGTAGGGCCCATAGGAACTGGCACTCTGCAGACTTGAGGGACAGTTTTCTGACGGTGGCAGAATGTCTGCTATGGGCAAGTTCACTTGTTTTTTCTCCATGTCAGTATCCCGAATTAATTCACAACTTCAAGGGCCAAATTCTGCACTTAGATTTGAGGGCACAGCTCCACTTCGTGACATGAGCTCCCGGACTTCACGTGCCCAGTGTATCTGAGGCAATGAGACCGTTGAGGTAGGGCCATTAATTCTCAATAAACTGCAGTCCGTATGAAGCCACAACTTGCGCTCCTGGCCTCGTGCTTTGGCTCAGATGTATGTTGATAAATTACAAATAGGCAGGTTGACTACTTGAACTTTGTAGAGCTGCAAACAATAGGTATTAAAACGCTCTGTTCTGGGAATTATTTGAGAGAAGTTCTCTGGCCTGTATGGTACAGGGGGTCAGACTAGATGATCACAATGGTCCTATGTGGTCTATGACTCTAATTTTTAACCAGAAGCAGCCTGTTTTTTAATGCCTGTGCCATTTTGGCCCATAGGAGGACAGCGCAGACCTAAAGTGTCAGCTGCATTTTGCGAAAGAGGAGTCCGCTCTGATGTGCAAGAAACTAACGAAGTTAGCCAAGGAGAACGACAGCATGAAGGAGGAGCTGGTGAAATACCGCTCCTTGTACGGGGACTTGGAGAGCTCTTTGTCCATAGAGGAGCTGGCGGACTCCCCTCATTCGCGAGAGGCAGAACTGAAGGCCCATCTGAAGCTCGTTGAGGAAGAAGCCAACATCCTGAGTCGGAGGATCGTGGAGCTCGAGGTTGAAAACCGTGGGCTGAGGGCAGAGATGGATGACATGAAGGGACAAGGTGACAGAGAGCTGATGGGGCAGGACATTCGGTTTGCTTTCTCCTCCACCAGCTGTGGGGACTCTGGGGAGAGCCAGGTGGAGCTGAGGCGACACCTGCAGTTCGTGGAAGAGGAGGCCGAGCTACTGAGGAGGTCGCTGATGGAGCTGGAAGACCAAAACAAGCTCCTCATGAATGAGCTGAACAAGTACAAGTCGGACCACGACCTGGACATTACCCTGTCGGAGGACAGCTGCTCGGTGATCAGCGAGCCGTCCCAAGAGGAGCTGGCCACGGCCAAGGTGCAGATCAGCGAGCTCAGCGGCAAGGTGAAGAAGCTGCAGTACGAGAACCGCGTGCTGCTCTCTAACCTTCAGCGCTGCGATCTGGCCTCCTGCCAGACCACGAGGCCGATGATGGAGACCGACGCTGAGGCTGGCGATTCTGCGGACTGCATCCCGACCCCTCTCTGGAGAGAGGTGCCCGTTGGAGGAGAGAGTGATGCCAAGGACCGCCCTGAGAGAGGGCCCGGCAACGGCAACGGGAAGTCTCAGGGCAACAGCCCCACCCGGCTGTTCAAATCCAAGGACTTGGAGACTCTGCTTGGCATCCGGGACCAGGCCGCACTTGTTAGCAAAGCCATCGACGTCTTGATTTCGGACTCCAATGGCTTCACCTCCAGCCTGAAGGTGTGTCTGGACAATGACTGCATGGACCTGGTGCTGAGCGAGCCGGTGGATAACAACAGTGAAAGCACCAGTGACTCCAAGCTGATCAACATGATCTTTGTGAGGCTCCGTGTCCTGCAGCAGGAGCTGAGCTCCTTCATGAGGAAGGTGGATCACATTGGGGACTGTTGGAAAGAGCAGATGGACCCTTTCTCCTTCCTGCCCAGCTGCGGTCCCCAGGACTCTCCCAAAGGAGCACTGCGCAAAGAGCACAGCTCCGACTTCCAGGTAAGGTGTTTTCTATGGCATTGCCGTTCCCGTGCAGTGGTGGTTGCTTTATTTGCCGTGCTGTTTCTCCTGCTTTAACAAAACAAACCCCACCTATAATGTAACCTTCCTTGTGCCTCTAGAGTGAACTACAAACTAACAACTCACTGCATGGTAATGAACCCACAGACAAGATAGGACTCTGCTCTAACAGAGTGTGCATAGGGGGGAAGGTGGAGCCCTGGAGATTGGGCAGGCAGAGGAACACTGTTCTGGGTCATCGTCACTTCAGAACGCTTGGGGCATGGGGTGGCTGACACTGAGCCTGTCCCCAGCCACAGGGGAAGGGCTCTCAAGTACAGTCCTACCTCAGCATGCCCAGGGTCCGTCCCAGTGAATGCACTGTTCTGCAGACCCAGCAATAGCTCCACGGTCTGATGCCAGATTCCTGTCATGGTGAAACATCCCCAAGTGAGCTCAGTCCCTATCTCAGCGAGGCGGGAGGCTCATGTGAAATTGGTACAGTGCATGGGAGAGAGGGCAAGGGGTGCTGTCTTGGGTCTCCAGGATCCAGGTGGCACCCCACCTTACAGCCAGATGCGGCACTCTTGGGGAGAGAACTTCCCAGCCCCTTTGTTAAGTGCTGCAGAGAGAGCCCAGGAGCAAGAGATTCCAGAGTGAACAGCTGAAAGACAAATTTCAGTAAGACTCTGAGCATGTCCTCTTGTCCCCGGGGAGCAGTCCCTCCATGCCACTGGAGCAGCAGAGTGCGGCTTGGCCCAAAGCACACAATCCCCTCGAGACGCATGGTGGCGCTCCCCTTGTGGAGCGTCTCCAGCAGCACCATCTCCTCACGGCATGGACCCTTGACCACCACCATCCAAAATCTGACCCGCTGGGAGTGTGCCAAAAACCCTGGGTTCAGGCTGTTCCCCAAACCAGCCAGCATGCCCCACCTCCCCCCCAAGCTCTGCATCACCCAGCCCATGTGCAGCAGGAGGAGGGGGACCATAGCTGAGAACTTGCAGACTGCCAGGGGAGGGTAGAGGGCTCCGGGCTCTGAAGAGGGAGCAGATTTCCAGAGCACACTCTCATTTGTTCAGAGTTCTATTTTCCTGCATGCTGCTGGGTTTTAGTCCAACCCAGCCCAAGCGCCCCACCCCACCAGTCACTGCATGGCACCATAACTGGGGTTTGCACATTTTTTCCCTCTCTCTCTCTCCCCCACCCCAAACAATCCAGCCCACGTGTCTCCTCATCCTGTGTTTCCTTTTGTTTTCCACATTGTCTTATGCCACGGTGCTGAAGCTCCTCTTCCTCTTCATCCTTTTTGTTGTCTTGTAGTTCTTTGCTGTTTCTGAGACCCATTGTTTTGTTTGTTTTTCTTTTCTTCCCGCCCTTTTGGTTTGTTCTCATTAACTTGCCCATGCATGCAGCAGCCAGACTTTAGGGACGGCCCGGACTGGGACGCCGCGGGGAGCCGGCCCCCTGACCTGTACCGCAGCAACAACACCATGGACGTGGACTCCAATGTGAAACTCCCCAGGAACTACAAGTCCTACCGATCTGACGAGAACGACTCCTATGTCACCGAGGTAGGTGAGCAGAGAGGGCGGGAGCTCCCCGCCCTGCAGGAGATGGGGCTGGCCTAGGAGATGCTGAGTCAGTGGGGGGAGAGGGAAGGCCAGAAAATGTGAAAGGGGAGGCGCTGATGTGGGGCAGGGGTGGCTATGCTGGGGCCCTTGGGGATCCGCCATGGGAGAGCTCTTGGCACCTGTGTTCAGCAGGCCCACGGCCCAGCCGGGTGAGAGGGAGCACGGGCCCAAAGAGCTGCTGGATCACTCTGAAAACTGCTTTCTGGAACTTGCTAGACGTGGATGGGGAGAGCTCCCCTCTCTCTGTGGTAAATGGGGTGATGGGGGAGAGCACCACTGAGCTAGTGGGGCAATGGGGCAGACCCCTTCCAGAGAGCAGAGACTCCAGCTAGCAGGCTGTGCCCTTCCACATATGCCAGCACCGCTTGGAGGGGAGCCGGTTGTCCTGGGAGGAGAGGAGGCTGTGAGGATCCCGGGCTGCCATAAAGCCCTGCAGCCTCTCTCGTGTCTTGGAGCTCAGGCAGCTGGTGATATGGGCACTGCAGGCACGCTGCTCCCAGCAGGACCACTCCCCTAAGCAAACAGGCCCAGTGCGGTCAGAGCCAAGTGCTCACGAGAGGGACAAGCAGCATCAACCTGAGTGTCCCTAAGATGCACCTGAACCATACACGACTGGCGTCTGTGTCTGTTAGCTGCTGTAGGGGAGGGGGCTTCCCCCTCTCGCCATCTCCCACCTCTCTGCCCAGATCTCCCTGTGTCTGTCTGATGCGGTCAGGGGTTCTGATTGCTTCTCCACAGGCAGGAAAGTGCCGCCGGCCCCAAACGAGGCTCCCTGTGCTTTCTGCAAGCTGCCCCACCCCGTGCTCCGTCTTCCTGACATGAAGCCTGGGGTAGTTGGCTTTCCACGAGCTCTGGGAAATGTGTTCGCATCCTGTCTCTGAGCCGCCTCCTCTGTGCCACGGGCTTTGCGCTTCTCTGGCGCAGCACCTTCAGTGCTACCCTCCGCTGAGCCAGGCTGTGGGTTTGTTGCCAGGTTTAGCCCCGACCCAGGATGGTTTCATGATTTTGTTCCCAACTCACGAAGTATCCATGGACCTAGCTCTTCTGCAGAGCGTGTGGAATAGTCTGTGCGTGTCTCAAGGACGGCCTTGTATAGCACGTGGTACATGTCCGCAGCAGCTGCTCAGGTTGCAAGGCTAAGCTGTAACAAATTCGAAAGGCCAGTTCCCTCCTCATTTCAGCTCCATGTGTGGTTTGCAGCGGGGGCATGTAACCAGTTGGAGGTTTAATTTGCCCTGAAGCTAACTGTGGTTTGGCTGGAAAGCCAGACAGTTTGGCCTTTGTGGCAGAAGATGGAGCCATGACTAACTGGGAAGCCCTGCTTCTCCCCTCCCCAGTCACTGCCCCAGAGCTCGGGTCAGGGCACTCACAGCACGGCCCTGCCTCAGGCACAGCCAGCAGGGCTCTGCTCCCTGGTCCTACCTCCACTGCCCAAGGCGTCGCTGGTGTGATTGGCAGCTTGGTCCATCCCCGTCCCCTCTGACCGGTAGTTCTGTGCTGCTGGGCCCAGTGCCCTCAGCCGCCCCCATTGCAGCAGGCATGAGCCCTGACACTTCTCCGTGGCTGCTGGGTAGTAGGGTTTTCCCAGCCTGGCCTAAGGGGGTTTCCCTACCCCCTTAGCACCCTCCTGCCCCCTACCCCTCCTGCTGAGGCTGGGGGCTGCTGCCCTGCTGAACCCACCTGCTCTTCATTGCCTGCTCGGCCTGACTGTTCAGGAGGGGCTGCTGTTCGCAGCACCCTGCCTGCTGCTGCCTCAGCTCCCCTGCAGCCCCAGTGATGGGCACCCTAGGGCAGGCATGGATCTGGATCTGTGTGGTGTTACTGCCGGCTTAGTGCTAGCTCTGTGGCCCTGCCCCTCCCCTGGTAGGGGGCGTTCTGGAGCGGGAGGGGAATGGCTCCAGGTATGGCTGCAGCAGCGATGCAAGGCAGGGCCTGCGCTGGAGGCCTCCCCAGCTCCTGGCTACCCCTCAATAGGGGGGAACAAACTGCCCCCCCTGGCCCTGCACTGGCCAGTCTCTCCAGAGCAGGGTCTGGGTTCTGAGCTGCCCTGGCATGAGCCTCATTGCTGCCTTTCCACGAAGCGGCATGTTCCTGGCAGGCTCTGCTGACGGGAATCTCTGTACAAACTGGTGCAGTGTCTGTGTCTTGGCCTCCGGGTGTGCGGCCCTGCTCCGCGCCTGGCTGGTGCCTGGAAACTTTGAGCTGTGCCACCTGGCGTGCTGCTCCTGTCAGACCCCGGGGGGCGGAGGGGGTAGAGCTTCGGGAAAGGTTGGCGCCATCAGCTGCAGATCCCGGGGGGCCCCTGCTCTCAGATTAGTGGGTGTGGGGCACCCAGCCAGCAGTAGGACTGTTGGCTCAGTTGCTCTGAACTAACCAAGGTCCAAACATGGAAAAAGGGCCTTTAAAATGTGGGGCTGGGACCCCAATGGCAGGGGATGGGCCCGATGGCTCACTAGAGGTCCTGTCCCTTCCTAGGGATCCTGTGAGCAGCCACCTACTGCCAGGCACGTCCAGGGAGGGGACCCTTGGAGGGGCAGGTGCACTGGGAGAACAGAGCTCCTGGAAGGGGAACTTTCCAAGAGGCCGGTTCACACCCCAGCCTCCAGCGTGTCTCCAGCAAGCGCTGCTCACTGGGGCGCTGTCCCTGCACCACCCTTCAGCTCCTGTGCCAGGCCCGGTGTCTCCGAGCTGCTCCCTGAGTGCGGTGTGGCTCTGCGGCTAAACCGAGAGGGCTTTGGTTAGGGGCCGGGGGAAGGCCCAGCCTTTCCAAACCACTGCTTGGCTGCAATGGCCTGAGCTCACCCCCTCCCAGCAGCGGCACAATCAGGGCTGGGGCCTTTCTGCTCTCATATGCCCTTGAGCAGTGGCTGCCCCGAGGCCCCAGTAGAGCAAATAGCCACCTGCCCCAGGCTCCGAGTCCCTGTGTGCCTGTCTGCAGCCTCTCCCAGCTGTGCGCCACGGGGCCTACGGGCCTTGGCTGGCTAGTGAGGAACCTGGCGGGAAGGACGTGGCTTCCCCATTTTACAGCTGGCTCGGCTGCGGCGCAGAGAGGGGAAGTGATGAGCTCAAGGTCACCGCCTGTGTCAGGAGCAGAGACCAAGAGTGCAGTCTCTGAGCCCCCTCCTCTGTCCCTTGGCTGGGGTGGAGCCCAGGAGAACTGAATCCACCGTCCGCTCCAATGCACTGGTGCCCCCTCCGGGCTGCTGTGGGCCTTGCTCTCCATGGGAGAGGAACGAGGCCTGAGCGTGACGGGGCACCAGGGGACTGACTCTGTCCACTCCCCATGCAGATCAAGGAGCTGCAGCTGGTGCTGGCTGAAGCCAACGAGAGCCTGCGGGGCCTGCAGGAGCAGCTCACCCAGGAGAGGCAGCTGAGGAAGGAGGAGCTGGAGAACTTCTCCCAGAAGATCTGCCAGGTCAGTGAGAGGCACCGCAGGGAGCTGCTGCAGCGACCCAGTGTGATCTGTGCCACGACCACCTGCCCCTGCCTGGGGTGGGAGTGACCGGGGGCAGCCAAGAGCCAGTCTGGGCCTTGGGGATAGTCCCAGACCTTGGAGGAGACGGGCACAGAACCCCACCCCACTCCCAGCATCTCCTGGGCCGGCACGAAGCAGCCACTGCCTGCCCAATCAGCTGGGGGGAGAGGGGAAGTTTCCATGAGACCTTGTGGCTGTCAGCTCCTTCAGAGGTGTGTGCAGCACCCTGGGCCCCTGCTAACTCAAACCCTTCTCCCCCAGCACTGGCAGAGCCGTGCCATAGCCCCTCCTTGAGACCTTCAGCGTGCCCAGGGCCTGTGAGATCACTCCCTCCTCCCCTCCCCCAGCACACTTGCGAGATCATCCCCTCCCTCCCCTCGCCCACTAGCGTGCCCGAGGCTCGTGAGGGGCACACACACTCCCCATAGCCTGTTGCCAGGGCAATCATCCAACACGTCCATATTTCTCCCCCCTCCCCACTGCTGCGGCCCACAGCTCCCTGGCACAGCACCACTATCTCCAGAGCCAGGTGACCCTGCTCTGGGCCCTCCCTCTTCCACCGCTGCTGTCCCGGTGCCCATGGGGCCGGGAAATGAGTGACAGCCCTAGGAGCTCTGCTCCAGCCTCAGCCTCAGCCTCTCCCCACCAGGGGCCTAACCCCCCAGTCCCACCACCTGCACAGATCCTGCAGCAGCACCCACTGGGAGCCCTCGCACGGCTGAGAGGAGGGTCCTTCTCATGGTGGCTCTCCCCCAGCTGCGGGAAGACCAGCAGAAGGCTCTCCTGAGGCGGGAGTTTGAGCTGCAGAGCCTGAGCCTCCAGAGGCGGCTGGAGCAGAAGTTCTGGAGCCAGGAGAAGAACCTCCTGGTGCAGGAATCCCAGCAGTTCAAGCAGAATTTCCTGCTTCTCTTCATGAAGCTCAAGTGGTTCCTCAAACGCTGGAGACAGGGGAAGATCCTTCACAGTGAGGGCGATGGCTTCTTGGAGGTAGGATATGCAGCCAGGAGCTCCCATCCCATAGTCTGCCGGGCACAGGGCTGCACTGTCCCAACTGGAGAGACCTACAGCAGAGTCTGTGCAGGCAGGTGGCCAGGTGGCATGGAGTGGAGCCAATCCCAGCCTCTGTGACCCTTCACGTAGATATGCAGCCTGCAGAGCCTGTGGGCCGCAGCCTGAGAGGGAGCTCGGCATGCTGGGACCTGCAGTCTCTGGGCTATCGGCTGGGTAGGGTCAGCATTGCCAACTCCCATCACTTCTGGCCTGGGGAGGGCCTCTGTAGAGACAATGGGGGTCAGTATGGCTTAGCCGTTCCTTCCTGTCTCACATGGGACTGCGTATAAGGTGCTACCTGGTGCCACCCTCATGCTCTGCAGCCCCCTAAGAGCCCTGCTCATTTAACCCAGGTCACTGCAGGAACCAGCTGCCGGGCAGTAACATCCTGCAGTGTCCTGAGGTGAAGGGCCCCGTGGCCCATTGCTGAGCCAGCTGCTCCCTGCCCTGTGCTCTGTCCTGGGTGGTTTCCTGCATCTGGGCTGAGATCTCACACTCAACCCCCCCAAACTCAGCGGGTTCAGAAAGGCCCCAGGCTGAGGCTGTGCGTGGGGACAGCCTGGGCAGTGCCAGCCAGGGTCGGCCTGTGCTGGATGCTGCCCTCTTTTCTGCAGCAGAAGGGAGGCTGGGCAGGTCGGTGCAGGGGGAGGAGTGGGAGCAGCATGGAGACGTGGGAGCCACAGCAGAGCTAATGGCCCATCACCTTCGGTGTCGATTGTTCCGTGGGCAGAGGTGGTGCCTGGCACAGGGTTTTTCTGACGGGGGCATGCTGCTGCCCAGGGCAAAGGGGCCACGTCTGCCTCTCAACGGTGCTGGCTGCTGGAAACCTGCTGGCTGTTACCCAAAGTCAGCTTGCACTCAGCTCCCCAGCAATGGTCACGCGCTAGGGAGGAGGTCACAGGGCAGGAAGCAGGAGAGTCCGGAGCCAGCGCAGGTCAACACTGACTCCAGCCCTGCATCCAAGCAGACAGGCCGGGGCCTGTTAGTCCTCTGCATCATTACTGTTCATGTGCACGTCCATGAGACGCCCATCTACATGCCACGCCAGGGCAGCTGCTCCCTGCTCTAGTGCCAGTTAAGTGCATACTGCCCCTCGGGGAAGCTTGCCCAGCACCTGTCTGTGCCGAGCCCGGGCTCTAGTCCCTCGCTTCTCTGAGAACTAAACTCATTCACAAACGAGAACAAATGACTTGCACAGAGTGTGCAGCCTCTGGACGGGAGCGACGGTGTCTGAGGCTTGGTAACAACAGCCTCATTATGGCCCGGCCTTGTGCTGAGGCCAGAAGATGACTGTGCCCTGGCACGAGGCTGCAGTTTCTGGTGCCTGGTACGGAAGAGCAGGAAACACGAGCTGGGGAAGTGCTGAGACCAGATCACCCCCACCCCACAGCTCTGCTGAAGGCCCTCAGTCCACGTGTGCAGCTCCTCCGTTACTCCAGTCCTGGGCCCCACACACAGCTCTCCTGGTGGCCCTCCATCCCAGCTCGCAGTCACCTCCTATCCCTAGGCTCTGCTGGGTACAGGCAACCTTGGGCGCCAGCTTCTCACTGCCCCAGGGCCCTTTCCTCCTACTCCCCTGGGCCAGGAGCCCCTCGTCTGCCCGTGGCTGGAGGCTGAGGGGGACCGAGCTACCTCCCCCCATTGTATCTTGTCGTGTTTCCAGGTGAACAGCATGAAAGAGCTGTACCTGCTGATCGAGGAGGAGGAACTCACCCCACAGCAGCAGGCCGATAACAAGACGTGTGCCGGAGACACCTGGACCCAGAACACGGTGAGCTGGGACCCTGGCACACCTGCTGTGGCAGGTGCCCATGCGATGAGCTTGGAGTGGTGGTGCTGGGGCAAGTGCTCTGTAGTCTCTGGGTTCAGCCCGGCTCCCCGGGCACAGGCTGGTGCCTGACATCCCCCATCCCTTTCCCACTCAGTTCTCATTTCCCGGGAGCTGAGAGCATCCGGGACCAGGAGGCTATGTGGAGCCAGGCTAGGGCAGGAGGGTGCTGTGCCCATGGGAGCTCAGGCAGCCTGGGGCCCTGTGTGTCTGCTGCGGCAGCCCCTCAGTCCTGCCATCCCGGCCCCTCTCCTGGGCTGGCAGGAGGGACTGCGGGTCGGTGTGCTGCACCCCAAGCCCAGCACCGGCGGCCCGGTCAGACCCTGCCATCCGGGCAGCGAGGCCAGAGGCCCTGGTGTGTGCTGGGAGCCAGGGCCGGAGCTGCAGTGCAGGCCGCTCATGCTATTTGTATGCATTGGGGATTGATCGGAAAGTGTTAATGCCGCGCAGACGAGCCGAGGTAACGTGGCTCCCGGTGCCGGCAGGAATGTGGGTGTTCCTCAGAGATTGGGGCTGCAGATCCTGTGCAGGGGTGGGCAGGTCTGTACTGGAAACATCACCCACTGCTGGGGGCTGTGGGGAGGTGTTCGGGGGGGGAGGTGAGGCTGAGTGGGGGCTGTCTCTGAGCTTGCCCCAGCTGAGGCCTATGGGCACGGGTCCATGTTTACATTGAAGAGCAGCAGCCATCCAGATGTCTGTGCTTAGCCCTTGTAAGGCAGAAGCTGGATGGGGAGGGAGCCTGCATGCAGCTTCCAGGCTGGGCTCTGAGGGACACTGCAGTGCTGGGCACCTGTCACCAGCTCCCCCCGCCAGCAGGATATCCCATAGTGGGCAAACGTGTCAGCTGGCAGTGAGGTAAGCTCTGGCCGGCGGGAGTCTCTGCACCGGGTCATGACGCTTTGTGTCATGTAGAGCAAGGGGCTGGGCCTGACCAGCAAACTCCAGGCCTAGTTTGTGGCAGAGCCGCTGTGTCCTGTGGGCTCCGTCTGCTGAGAACAAGGTGCCTTTGAAGCCTGGCTCCTTACTATGAAGAACACAGCGTCTGGGTGTAGCTGGCAGTACAAAGGAGCCTGAACTTCCCATCCCTGGGGCTGCACACCTGGCTGCCCTGCCCACAGCGCTAGCCCAAGATCTCACAGCGGAAGTGCCAATGAAGAGACACCCTCCTCCCCCCACTTCAGCGTGTGAGGTTCTGCTGGGAGCCTCCGTGGAGCGTGCCAGCCTGTGTGCCCCTCTGCCCCTGTTCTGCAGACATTCCTCCTCTTCTCTGATCCTCCAGGGACCCAGGAGGGTGTGGGATCAGGGATGACCAGGGGTGCTGGGAGAGGCCCTGAGGCTGCACCTTCTCAGCAGCTCCCAAATGGAGACTGGCCTCCCAGCCACCCGGCAGGCCTGGCCTTCCTGAGACCGCGGTGGCTGGATGAGCTCAGTGGGCAGGACCAAGTTCTGCAGGAACAGGCGCCTGCTGCAGCTTCCTGGGGTCCTTCAGCCCAGGGCTGGCTCCAGGTTTTTTGCTGCCCCAAGCAAAAAAAAAAAAAACCTCGGAGTGCTGCCCCCGAAGGGCCAAAATGCCGCCCCTTGAAAAGCGCCGCCCCAAGCACATGCTTGGAATGCTGGTGCCTAGAGCTGGCCCTGCTTCAGCCTGTGGGGTTGGGGGAATGGCCTCTCACCTTCCTCAAAGGCCAGGGAGGGGGAGTAGCCTCTACATGCTGAGTGCAGGGCATGTGCACAAGCTGTCTGACCCCAGGGTGGCTAGCAGGGCGGTGGGCGGAAGCCAATGGGCACAGAGAGCGGGTGGCGGTGGGACACTGAGCTGCTGCTGAGCTGAATCATGTTCTCCAAACGGGTGCCAGGCGAAGGGGAGGGGACAGCTCCCTGGAGGCTGGCAGTGCCGCCGAGGGAGCCCCTAGGCATTCCCCAGGACTCCTCTGCAGCCTGACAGCTTCACAGGCCGGTGGGATGGAGGGTTAGAGCCCAGTGAATGGGGCAGGGGCTGCAGCCGGTTTCTGCCCTGGCATTTGCTGGTTCTCCAACCTGACTGCCTGGGCCCGGCATGGATGGAGGAACACTGGCCCGCTGCACACAGCAAGGAGTCTCCCAGCCCTCCAGCAGCTGGCCAAGGTCCTTCTCCCCTTTGTATGAGGGGGACTGGGGTGGAGGGGATTTGTGGAGCTGTCTCCCAGTCCTGTGCTCTGCCCTCCCAACTCTGCAGCCGACTGGCCTGGAGGGCCTCAGGGTTACTTCTGTGTCCCCTCCCCCTATGGGATCATCACCCTCAGCAGGGGGACTCTACAGGAGGTTTGATGACCATGACATGAATTCGATGTGTATTGCAGGGTGCTTTTAACCCCCCCTCGCTAGAGTGCTGGACTGGAGTGAACCTTCCTCCCCCAGGTCCCGGGGCGGGGGCTGGACAGCTCAGCTGGCTCCATTGCTGCTGACCTGGCTGTAGGGCAAGGCACGTTCTTGAAACTCAATCCACGGGAGGAGGCAGCACAGCCTAGACCAGAGCCCTGGTGCCTGCAAAGCTGCCTCTCCCTGTCCTCGTTGCCTGGCCTAGACCGACACGGGGCCCACGGAGCCCTGCGCCCGCTGCTCCTCCCCCGTTGCAGATGTCTGTGAACAGCTGCCCATGCTCACGCCTTTCTCCCTTCCCCTGCCCGGCAGCCCAATGAGTACGTCAAGACCCTGGCAGACATGAAGGTGATCCTGAAGGAGCTGTGCACGGAGCTGCGTGAGGAGAGGCGGGGCATGAATGAGCTGCAGCAGCAATTTGCCAAGGCCAAGGCTGCCTGGGAGGTAGAGCGGACTGAGCTCAAGTGCCACATCGCCCAGGTAAGAACAGCACACACACACTGGACTCTTGGGGGGGTGGGGGAGGCATCTTCCTCCTTTGGCTTCCCTTCCCCCATCACCCTAAAATCCCTGCTTCGGGATGACCCTCCTTCCAGGCCAGCAGGATGGCCCCAGCAGACCCCCTCAGCAGGGCTTTGAATGCGACGGCAGCGTGTGCTCAGAGCCCAGCAGGGCAGAGCGCACTTCCCGGTACCTGTCTAATATCAGAGGGGCTGGGAGCTGCAGGAGATGTCTGCAGCCTGATAAACCGGGCTGGGGCAGAGGATGAAAGCAGTGCACTGTGGGAATCTTAATTAGCAATCTCTGCTCCTGCTGAGGGAGTTTCTATAGCAACAGAGCTGACACTGAGAATCCAATTGTTGGAGTAAATGATGCCCATTATTTCCCTTGCAGGGATTGCTGGGCTGGGACCCAGAGCAGGTGGGAGGGGTATCCTGGCTGGAGAGATCCCAGACAGAAGCAGTGGAGAGGCTGGCTGCACGTGCAGTGAGCTTTGAGGGTGCTCAGCAGGGACCCTGGCTGAACAGGATAGCTTTCCAGCACCACTGTCATGAACTGGGATGTGGGCAGCCAAGACTAGTGGTTGGAGCAGGACTCAGGCACCAGAGTCAGGAAGCCAGTAGACAAGTAGGGAACAGACTGGGCAAGCCAGGAGCAATGCTGGGAACAAGCCAGGATCAGGGCTGGAGCAAGGCTAGGAGCAGGGCAGGCACCGGAGAGAGTGCAGCTGCGGGTATGTGTGATGAGCACCCAGAGATCGTTCAGTAGTTGCTGTTGGGTGTAAGAGCAGGCCTGGTGACCTCCTCAGCCAGTCAGGTGGTGGAATGGTCCATCAGGCGGCCCTGCTGTGCTCATAGGCTGTCCTGAGACTGAGCAGGTGCAGCTGCAAGTCCTCACTTCTAACAGTCACTCATTTTGGGAGACAGTAAGAGGTGGTACCCTCCAAACTTCGCCCATAATCCATGCTCCACCCATGTGTGATGCCAAAATGAGGTGTCGCTTGCAGCGGATTGGTCGGCAGTTTTCAGAAATTCCTTGGGTGCTGGTTGGCAGTGAAATAGTTAACAGCGTTGCCATCATTAGACTAGGTTAATGCATTGACCAGCTCCCACCTCTCCGAGCTCTTTTGTCAGGCTCTCTGCAGACTCAGGCAGACACCACCATATCTGTGACACTAGGGTTACCTTTTCAAACAGGAGGCTCAGTATTTATCTTAGTGACTCCATCTCACATGTCAGTTCACAAGTAGAAGGAAACGGCCCGACCTGGAGAATCAACCTGGGATCAGAGAGTCAAGCTGGGCTTTTTCCTATGCATAGGAAACCACTAATAAAAGCTCTGTAGCTAACTTTGCCCTGTGTGGCCCCACTAGTCAGCAGGCATTAGCACAGGGGTCTCTGAGTGGGAGCGAGTGAGCAGACTCCAGCCCCTTCTTTGTCAGCTGTGCTGGCTGGGCAGGGCTGCCAGGAGCACAGACTGATTTTAGTCCTTAAGGACAGCGGCTCAGACTCTGATCCACACACTGCAGCAGGAAGGGCTGTTTCTGAGCAGATCTGCACTTTAAGGCAAGCAGATTCCAGTGACATTCCCGGCCCATCTAACAGTGAGGGTCCATTCTTCTAGCCTTGCGGAGCCGATTCATCTGGCAATCAGCACGTTTTCCTGAAGCCTGGAAATACTTGCCCAGTACATGTCCACTCTGTGGGCTTTCCCAGGATCAGTGCACGTGCAGTCCCTTGGCCGTGCAGGGTCAATGTCTCTGGCCTACAAATATTAATCTCCAAGCTGTCGCGTGCTCAGAGCCATGCCAGGCTTGCGTGCAGCTCAAAGCTTAGTGCTGAGATCAGCACAACCCAAACTAGTGGAAATGAAGCCTGGATTTATGGCCTCATTGGCTCCGATGACAGGAGGCAATAAAGGCTGGATGACCGCAATGCCAAGGCTTCAGGAGAACATGTTACTCGACAGATTAATTTGGGGAACCTTTTCATGGCCAGGATCTGCAGGAGGGGCGGCAGTGCTGCAACTGCACCTGAGCTTGGGAGCTGGAGCCAGCGTGTTGACAAGACCTTCCCCTGGGGGAACTGTGTGGGTCCCATGGGTCACATAGAGTTGCCAGGTGTCTGGTTCTCAACCAGAACGCCTGGTTGAAAAGGGATCCTGGTGGCGGAGCTGACCGGGACGTTAAAAGTCCGGTCAGTGGGGCTAAGGCAGGCTCCCTGCCTGCCGTGGCTCCCTGCGGCTCCCAAAAGCAGCGACATGTGCCCCTGTATAGGGCAGCCAGGGGACTCTGCACGCTGCCCCCGCCCCAAGCTACCACTCTGCAGCTCCCATTGGCCGCGGTTTCCGGCCAATGGGAGCTGCGGGGGCGGTGCCTGTTGATGGAGTAGTGCGCAGAGCCTCCTGGCTGCACCTCCGCATAGGAGCCGGAGAGGGGACATGACGCTGCTTCCAGGAGCTGCTTGAGGTAAGTGCCACCTGGAACCTGTACCCCTGCCCCCTCCCACGCCCAAACCCCCTGCCCCAGCCCACATCTCCCTCCTGCCCTCCAAACCCCTCAATCTCAGCCTGGAGCACCCTCCTGCACCCCAAATCCTTTATCCCCGGGCCCACACCCCCAGCTGGAGCCCTCCCCCCCCCGTGCCCCTGCCCAGCCCTGATCCCCTCCCGCCCTCCGAACCCCTCAGTCCCAGCCCAGAGCACCCTCCTGCACCCCAAACCCTTCATCCCCAGCCCCATCCCAAAGTCTGCACCCCCTGCCCCCTCCCAGAGCCCTCTCCTGCACTCTGAACCCCCCAGCCTGGAGCCCCCTCCTGCACCCCAAATCCCTCATCCCCAGTTCCACACCAGAGCCTGCACCCCCAGCTGGAGCCCTCACCCCCCACCCTGTCCCCTGCCCCAGCCCAGTGAAAATGAGCGAGTGAGTGAGGGCGGGGAGAGCGAGTGACAGAGGGAGGGGGGATGGAGTGAGCGGGGGCGGGGCCTCGGAGGAGGGGCAATGCAAGAGTGTTTGGTTTTGTGCGAGCAGAAAGTCTGGCACCTGTGCCAGAAATTGGAATGGCTGCCCACAGCACGGTTACTAGTAAAACAGTCAGTTTCGTAAATGGAGAGAGGCCAGGCTCAGCCCTGGGAGCAGCTTCGATACGAATGTAGCACCCAGCATGGCCCATGGCACCTTGCCTCTTCCATGCACCCTGCAATCCACCACCAGCCTGCCTTGCTCTGGGGGACGCTCCATGTTACCCCGTTCTGTGGAGGGGAAATTGAGGCCCAGAGAGAGTGTGACATGCCTCCAATGTCGCAGTCAGTTCTCGAGCCCAGCTCTCGGCGCTAGCCATTGGGCACGCTCTCTCTCTGTTTTTAAGCCGCTACGGTTGTAACAAAGGTGCCTGTGGTAATGTATTAAAATCCAGGTTTAGGTGTTGAGAGCTACGTCTGCATTTGGGTGCACGGTTACCACAGCTATTTGCACACTGGGGTAATTGTGCAGCATCACATGCTCAAATACAAAGGCAGTTTTGCGTTCCTGCTTCTCAGCATGTGGGCCCTGAGTTTTCTGGCACTCCCTGGCCATAGACGTCTGCCTCACCGCAGTCCTGGCTACTCCACTGCTCAATGGCTCCCACCCACTGCAAGCTAGCGGTGCTCCTTTGGCCACTCTGACACCGGGGCACCTTTTCTGTCCCATTGTCTAACTCTTACTGCTTTGGAAATGTCCCGTTGGTTTCATCCCCATCACACTGAAACGCTGAGCGGGCTGGGGCCGTGTCCGTGTGATGCTAGCTTAGTGTGATTGTCAGGGCCTGCTCAGAGACGCACTGGGCCCTAATGAGGTCATGAATAATAAACCATTTGCCAGCCCCATGCTCCAGCGGTGTCATTCTTAGGCTTTCCTCCAGACTCTAGTATCCCCTCGTGTCATTGCACCGGCCTGGCTTTATGCAGCCGTGCGGCATCCAGACTCATTTATCATCAAGCTTAGATCAATCATTTCCCACTCTGCTCTCTGAGCTGTTGTCTGCCAGAGGACTTGAGCCCTGCCCTGGCTCCCTGCTAGCTGGACCCTGCCATGTGCTGTAGTGGTATTGCCTTGTCCGTCTCACTGGGGTCTGTGTCAAACCTGCCCTCAGACGCCCTGAGCTCTGTTCTCTTCTCTGATTACTTTTCCTGGGTCTTCATTTCCCTTTTGCAAGGCAGATCCATGAGGAAGTTACTGAGAACCCAGTTTGGTTTACACCCCAAAATGGCCAGCTGTTGTTCGGTGCTACCTCCCAAGGTGCTGGACACTGCTCGAGGGGTTAGCCCCCAGCGGTGTCCCTGCCCGTATTGCTGAGCCAATGTTTCTGGCAGCAGCAGCATCTCTTGCTGATGCTCTCTCTGAGCAGCTGTCAGTGGCTTCAATCTGCCTCACAAGCCATCACATGCTTAAGCCCCTTGTGAGCTGTCTGAGCTGCTGAGCCCAGGATGAGAGACACATGGATTCACGCCTGCTCACGAGCTGGCCTCAGGGTTTGGGGCCGCTCCTGCAGAGGGGGTGTTCACCAGGTCTCTGGGTATCGCATCCCATGCCTGCTCCCTCCAGGCACAGGCATGGGCTAGCTTTGGGCTCTAGGATTTCCCATAGCCCGCCGTAGCCCTGCCTTCTCCCAGTGTGGCCCCTTCCTTTCAGAGTGCAGCTCATCTGTGTCCAGGCTGAGGCCAGACAGGAGTCTCCCTGCTGCGCTGGAAGGGGGCAGCCTCCTGCTCTCAGCCTGAGTGCTGGCCCTCTCCCAGGTGTGGGGTGTTAACCAGCCTGTCTGCAGAGCACTGCTCTCACTGCCTGGCCTCTGTACTGTATTGTGCAGGCACCACGTGATCCCAATCCCACTCAGGTTGTGCCTTGAAACCCCTGTGCCGGGTTCTGGGCCCATTCCTCATGCAGCACTGGAAAGGGCTAAACTCTGGTTTCTTCTGCCCATTCCTGGTGTGTGTCCAGAGAGGGGCTCAGACACTGCCACAGGGTATGACTAGATAATGGGACAGAGTCAAGCTGAAGATCTAATGGTAACTTTCCCGAAGAATTGGGGCTAACTAACCGTGGGATGCTGGAGGCTGAGGGTCCTACCCGGGGAGTGTTTGTCCCTGTGCAGTCACTGCCCAGCTGGGATCTGGCTCGTGGCTTTGAGTACCAGCGGCGCCATCTCCCAGCACCGTCCGTGGGGTCCCAGGCAGTGATCTGCTGTAAAGCTCTGTAATGCCCCCTGCTCGCGCCCACACCTCTGAGCTGTGTTCTCCCTCCCAGCCAGCCCTCCAAGAGCCCCCCGGCCACAGACTGCTAGCACCTGAGCTTGCATGTTCAGCTTCGTGCTTCCCTTCTGCATGACCATGGCTGCAGCTGTCCTGCTGTTCCTTTAATAAAGAGACTGTCCCCTTGCGGGCACAGCAGCTCCAGGAGGACATGCCGGGAGAGGCTCTGGAAAGCTGACTCAGCGATAGCCCCCTGGCCCAGCCCAGTGTTAGCAAGGGCTGGTGGTTGGCAAGCTGTAATAATCACCTGGAGGCGGGTGTGCCTGCGGTCTGATCTCCCCTCGATTCCCCACAGCTGGAGTCAAAGGTTGGGAAAGGGGTCCCGGAGCGAGCCCCGTCAGACTGGAAAGTGGCTCTGAAGAGGGAGCGAGAGGAACACCAGCACCTCCTGGCCGAGTCCTACAGCGCGGTCATGGACCTCACCAAGCAGCTGCAGATCAGTGAGAAGAACTGGAACCAGGAGAAGCTGGAGCTGCTGGACAGGTTCAAGGACGAGCAGCAGCAGGCAGAGCAGCAAGTGAAAGAGCTGCAGAACAAAATCAACCAGGTAGGGGCGTACCGCATTCCCACGTGTGTACATGCACACGCGCCTGAGCTCACACTCACAGAGACGCTTATGGGAGCATTGCTCCTGCATGTGTACACGCACACGCATGTGAGCTGGTGCTTAGAGATGCTCCCGGGAGCATCCCCTCATGTGCATACATGTACGAGTAGCTGGGCTCACACTCACAAAAGTGCTTGCTGCTCACAGGGGTTTGTGTGAACGTGCGAGTGCACGGATACACCCAAGCTCTCACGCCAGTGCTCTCTGCTCCCATTAACACACAAGCACATGCTCGCACAAGCGTACGCGTGTACACCCACTGCCATGCATGCTCCCACGCAAGTGGTCCCTGCACGCTTTTGCACATGCTCACATGACACTTGCGTAGTGCACACTCCTGGGAACATGCTCACAGGAATACACATTCACACATCCCCCCCCAAACTGCTCCCAGAAGCCCCTTCCCCTGCGGGCAATGGCTCACGTTTTGTGGTGACTGGGTGAACGCAGGCCCTGCGCTCTGCTAGCTGGTTTGTCTGATCCCCAGGGTGGAACTCATCCCCTCTGCCTTTGGCTGCCTTTGGCTCGCCTGCCCCAGTCCTGAGATCTCCCACTCCCCATGCAGCAGTCCTGTAAGCTCCCCAGCCGAGCCGTGTTCCTGCAGCCCAGCCCAGCCCTGGTCCTGCCCTGAGCCTGAGGAGTCCAGTACGTCCCCTGGCCGCCGGCCGAGAGCGCTCTGGGCCATGGGAAAGCCATTGCGCTGCTGAGCTCCAGTTCAGCCGTCGCTGCCTGCAGGCAGCAGCTGCTCTAACGAGGCCTCTTTCCCCACTCCCGTGTTGAGTGACTGGCTCCTTTTCTGTGCGATTCCCAGCTGCAGAAGGGAGCCGACCGGTGGGCCGTGGAGAAGCAGGGCAGCAACTGGAAAGAGGTGAGCAGGAGAGCAGCTGTGCCCTGACTGTTGAGGGAGGGGGCGTCACCAGCTGCTTCCCAGGGAGTGAGCTGGGCATGGGACTGGATCCTTGGGAAGGCGGAGCAGCTGCCTTCTGAGAGGAGAAGCCCAGCCCCTTTCCCTTGGATTGGGGTGCAGCACTGCATGCTGGGACTCATCACCTGTGTTACAGTCATGCCCCGCACACAGCCGTGGTGGGGCCCCTCTGTGCCAGATACCAACACGCCAGTCCCTGCCCCAGAGCACTCAGTCTGACCAATCCGCTCCCTTGGATCGTGAATGGAACCTCACTGGGCGTGGCATTTATGTAACCCTTTGCACCCTGAGATCTCAGAGGGGGGCCATTGTTACCAGGTGGGTTAATGTGGCATCAAGATTATGGGCAGGTTCAAACATAGGGCCCTACAGTTAGAGCCCTGAATACATGGCTTTAGATCCAGGCTTGCCGAGCACTGACAGCTCTGCCTGGCGCCATGGGGGCTGTAGGTCTCTTTCCTGGGGGCCTAAAGATGGATTTAGGTTCCTAACTTTAGGCACTCAAGGTGAAAAGTTCTGGCTCAGTGAGGCCATTGTAGAGCCGGGAATGGAACCCAGGAGTCCTGGCTGCCAGATGAGCTGTACTGTCACTGGATACAGGTGAGGTGGGAAGTTGCCAGTGCAGCTCCTTGGTTTGGAGTCCCCTGGCCTGACGTACCATTCCCAAGTCCAGATTGTGGGCCAGCTAATGTCAGCGCTTCCTCCTGTGTCGTTCTAGACGCTCAACGAAAAGATCACCGACAAAGAGACCGTTTCTGAAACAGACCCCAAGGGAGCCAGTTTAAAAAGGTGAGACACACCCACCCACTTGGTACAGGGCAGCCTGGCACTGCTCACTCCTCCTGGAGGGGTGGGGGGTGAGGGCAGGAGCCTCAGCCCAGGGCTGCAACTGGTTGGTGAACGTGGGCTGATGGGCTCACAGCCCTCCTTACAGGTGTCCCACTGTCAGGACCCCCAGCTCACCTCCTCAATATCTGATGGCCTTCACATCTATCTCAGTGGGCTTGTGCTGGGGACCTGCTTCCCCCTACACACACTTTGGGGGGAGGCTGCTGTTCCAACCCCTAGAATGGTGCCCTGCAATGTTCCCTCCAATTTTCTCCATCCCTGTGCAGAATGAATTTTGTTATGGGCACCAATATCGAGGTAATGCATGGGTGTGAGCCACCAGTAGAAACCAAAAACCTAGGTATAATATATATTTTTTAAAAGTTACCATAGGGATAATTACTCCAGCCAGGACAGGTTAGGAATTTTAGAACTCACTACTCAAAGAATTAAATTTAAGCATAAGAAGGAAATAAAATTATGAAATGCACAGACCAGTCAAAAAACTAAAATAACAGAAAATATATGTGCATTGCAGGAAGTACCAAGAAGTAACAACACAAGTATGTGTTGGGAGGTGTGTGTGAAAGAGAGAGAGAGAGAGAGAGAGAGCTGCTGGGGAAGTGTATAAGAGCCTGTGCGTTGTCTCTTTAAGCAGAGAGGCACTCACCAGAACTCAGACCACAGCAGCTCCTGAGCCCTATCCCCACTCTGCGGAAATGGGGTACAGGGGCATGGGGGAGGGGGACACCGTGAAATCGGCACCCCACCCCTGCACCTTCTGCTCTGCACAGCAAGCAGGAGGGTCCTGGGAGCCGCTGGCCAGGGGCTCGAAGGCAGAGGGCAGGAGCAATGCGGCTGCAGAGCAGCGGGGGGAGGGGCACCTGAACACACGCACGGCAGTTGATTGACTCTTAGGCAGCAGCGCAGCTTAGAGGGAACATTGGTGCCCTGGGGTAGAGAGGTGAACTTGACCTCTCTTCCACAAGGAACATGAGCATAAAGCACCGTTATTGGGCAGGGGCTGGGAGATGCTAGGGAACTCCAGGGTGTTACCTAGTTACTGTGCGAGGGATTTGGGCGCGGGGTGCCCTGTTCACACAGGGACCTGGCTGCAGGGTGGGGGGAATCATTGCTGTTTTTGCTGTGCAGGGGAGAGGTGCACATTCTGCTCCCTGGGTGCTCCCAGAGCCTGCAGAGGTGTGTGAGTGGGGCAGGACCGCCAGGGGGGTGGGGGCTGGGGGGGGGGGTTCGAGTGCGTCTGGGACAGATGCTCAGGTTTGAACCCAAAAGTGAATGCATAGGGTGGGTTTGCGGCCAGCCCTTGCAAACAGACTTGTAGGATTTGGCGTATGACCCCTGAACCCTGCTCTGCCCTGTTTCCAGCCCGCATTCAGCCAGCATTCCCCCAAACATGCCATTGCTCCATGCTCCGAGTCCTGAGCATGTTCTCCCAGGGACCTGCCTGTGGCAGGTTCACCTGAACCAGGGGAACCTCTCCCAAAGCAAGCTCCTGTACAACAAAACGTTACTCAAGGCAGGCTGGCCAGGCAGGCTGTACCTGGCATAACCTGACCCAGAACAGTCTCTTCGCTGACTCAGGCTGAACAGTGCTGGCAGAGTGAGGGGCCAGGCCAGGCTTTCAGGTTAAGACAGATCCCAACTTCACCCAGAACTGAACACTTGGAGGAGGCAGCCAGCCCTTTTCATCTTGACTGTTGGGCCCTGATTGGCTTCTGGCTCTTCTAGCCACTGGAATACCAAATCTTATTGGTCCCACCAGCAGCTGATCATGGGTGGCCTCTCTGGGCAGCTCCTGAAGGTCTAAACTTGATGCTCATTTCCCCCCCAAAAGACACCTGCTTTGGGTGGGGTGTGCCAAGGTGGTGGGGCCTGCAGCAAGGGGCACCCAACACCGGGTAGCCCCCCACACACACACACTGCATGCACTGCTGAGCTGGCTTGTAGCCATAAATCCTGCCTGAGGACAGGAAGCTTGGGTGGTGTAGAACCCTTCCTTGCAGCTTGTTAGCCCACCCAGCATTTCACCACACTGCGCAAAGGCCCAGCAGAGTGAGCAGCAATAAATACCGCGTGTGCTCCTTGAGATCACAGCTCCAGCTGTGTAATCCAGCCCGTCTAGAGCCTGTTAGCCATGCAGGAAACATGCCCAGAGCAGCTGCATTCAGAGGGGACTCAGCACGCACTGGAATGATTCCTTGGCATGACCCCAGCTGCAGGTCATTTATGTTCTCATCTTCCTCGGCTCATCCGGGCTGTAGGCTTCTTACAGCATTTGTAATTCCTGGCACCTCTTCAGCTCTCATCTGTCAGGCTCTCTCTTCTGCTTCTGGGTTTTCCCCGCTCTCCAGCGTCTTCGCTGTTGGGGCTGCGCCAGTGATAGCGTGTGGCTGCCTTAGCCACTCCTCTGGGTTTGCTCTCTCATTTGGTGAGTTACAACAGCCCTGAGAGCAGCCACTTCTCATCTAGCTTGTTGAAGATGATTGTGTGTCACAATTCAGGGCAACTGCACCTGGATCCTCCTCCACGGTCCAGCAAGGGCACCCCCTCTCGGCTCCCTAGCCGGGGCCTCTCTTGGCTGGAGACCCGCACCTCTCTCTTCCTTCTGAGCAGCGTATTTCAGGCTGAATGGCCCCCTGCCTGCACGGTGTTATCCCCTAAGCAGGCCTGCGGCACCTCTCTCCTCTGAGGCAGTGCAGCGTGTGATTGCCCCAGGTATTAGTTACCACCCAGGCCTTGGTAAGCCAGCACATTTCATTCATAGGGTAGAAGCATTACGGAGAAAACAGCTCACCAACAATGAAAGAACCTACTGCAGACAGGCCTACCAGAGGTCACCCAGCTGCCAAATGGCTCTGGCCGGAGCAGTCCTTCTGCCGCCCCAGAAGTTTTCCTGTGGCTTCAAGGTCCTCACCCTCTTTGCTCGAACCTGAGCATGCCGCTCACTCATTGATCCAGTTACACTCTCTGAGGAGACCCAGAGCAGGTCACCAGCCAGACAGTGGGTCTGCTCAAAGTGCAGCTTCAGAAGCCTGGATTCGAGGTGGAGCCTTTGCCTTCCCCTTGCTTCCAAGTATTTCCGAGGAAATCCACTTCACATGTATTGTCCCCATAAGGCCTTTGGAGTTCCTGGTATCTAGGGTAACCAGACAGCAAATGTGAAAAATCGGGATGGGGGTAGGGCTAATAGGAGCCTATATAAGAAAAAGACTCCAAAATGGGGACTGTCCCTATAAAATCGGGACATCTGGTCACCCTACTGGTATCTCCCTGAGATTGCATTAACCCTGCCTGCCTGGTCTATACAGCCCCTCAATAGAACTCAAACATTTGCATTTTCATACAATGGGGAGGTATTAAACATGATTCAGTAAGGTGGTTCTTCGAGTAGATGCAGCCGTCTATTGCAGCTGGGTGTATGTGTGCCCAGCCCGCCGGAGCCTGAAATTTTGCCTAGCAGTACCCGTAGAGGGGCGGTGCTCGTGGCTGTGGCCCCTCCCCTGGCTCTATGAGGCAGCACCACCCCAATCCCCCTCAGTTCCTTCTTTCTGCCCGTGGCTGGAGTCAGAGCTCTGTGTGGTTGTAGCCTCATAACCTCGCAGATTGTCTAGTTTCTTATGGTTAGTGTTCGTTAGTCTGTTTCCCTGGTGCTGACCTTAATTCAGTAAGGTTTATCTTAATTCCATAAAGTTTGCTGAGGATGTTGCAGGATATTGCATGCAGTGTAGTTGTAGCCATGTTGGTCCCAGGGTATTAGAGAGACAAGGTGGGTGGAAAATGATTAAAGACAAAACCACCCTGTCACAACAACAACCCAGGAAACTACAGACCAGTTAGTTTAACTTCTGTGCCAGAGAAGATAATGGAGCAAGTAATTAAGGAAATCATCTACAAACACTTAGAAGGTGGTAAGGTGATAGGGAACAGCCAGCATGGATTTGTAAAGAACAAATCATGTCAAACCAATCTGATAGCTTTCTTCGATAGGATAAC